TGTCAATGGGACTAAGTGATTAGTTAAATCATCTTTAATTAAGAAAATACTGTAAAAAAAAAAAGAAAATACTGTAACACATAGATTAACAATGTGTCTGATGTGTAGAATAGAATTTCCAGCTTGGGCAACAGTGTAAACTAGGGCTGCTGGTAATGACGGACTTCACAGTGATTGGGCAGGATGCTGGACATTTGTCTTAGACTTTAACTTTGGAACAGTTTGGTGAGCAAGCGTATTTCCTCTGTAGTCTTTTCTTTCAAATTAAAAGTTCTTTCAGGGAGGGTCGGACTCCCAGCACCTACTCAGTAACAAGCACCAGACCAGAAACTAGAATTCCTCAAGCTCCAAGCTCTGTTCTATTACCTGTGAGTTGTGAAATTCCTCTGATGCTGGGTTTAGGGGGAACATCTGAAATTTGGAACTCTGTTTCTTGGGTTCTATCACCCTTCTACCTTTAGAGGGTTTGGGATTACTTCTGAAGATCAGACCCAGGGCCTTCCAGGATGTGTTATTGAGATTCAAATATTTATAATCTCAGAAGATCACACTGACATTGAATAAGAATAGATAATGGTCAGGCAATCAGGGTAATGGGCCCCAGTTCAGGTCTTGTTCAGACCAACCCAGTAGAAATGCAGATGGGCCCTTCAAGGCCTTTTTCAAATGTAAAGACCACTCACTCCACCTAGCTAAGCTGTGGAAGACCTTCCAGCCAACTCCWTTGTCCCTGAGCAGTGGGGAGAATGGAATGTGGAGATGAATCCCAGTGGGAGTTATAAGGTCCTTACTTAGCATCTGGACAGCCATCTTGAGTGAYAGCAGGCATTTTAAGGAAAAAGTTTTGCTTTCCTCCCCAAGGGCCTTTCTGAGAAAGACTCACCACTCCCTCATACCAACCCAACCCCTAACCACCATTAGGACCYACCCAGCTCTGATTCCTGAGCCTCCCCCATAAGAGTCCTGGAACCCAAGCTTATTTTACTTCTCTCCTATAGAGAGATGGCCTTTATCTGTCAGCTCCGACCGAGTATCTCTGCCTGGTCTCTGGCTTTCGTTTCTACTTACCTGTCTTTCATTCCTCGATTTCCCTTCAGGAGTYACAGGAAGGAAGAGAGGGTTAAAACTCAAAGGCAAAAACTCAAAAGCATTGATACTTTTTCAATATCTTTTTAACATAGATTTTGATCAATGCCCCTACCAGAAGCTATCTAGGTCCCTAGACTGGTRCATTTAAGAGGAAAAACTTGCTAACAGTTCCCCCTCACTTTCTCTTTCCACTTATATAAGTTCTGCTCCATTTACTCTTCCCTTCTGGCATTGTCCATGGATTTTATTCTTCAATTTGTTACYAAAAGCTCAGTCCTTGTCCCCAATGCCAATACAATAACTAGGACACGGTTTTGAGAAAAAGGAAAAAGAAGGTTTATTGCTTTGTTAGCAAAGGAGAAACACAGGGGATTCCTATCTCAGAGGCTGTGATTTTGTTCACCCACCAGAACAGGGAGGTTAAAGAGGTGATTCAAATACCACATTCCCCYGCCCCCCTTTCTTGGAGTTGTAATTCACTTGTTAATTTAGGAGGTAGTCATTCCTGAGGTCTCTGGATGCTCATCAGCAATTACTTGGTTCCCTTGCTGGGTGTGTACTCAAGGACAGATAACTCSGTTTGGGATGYGGAAGAAAGAACCAGTTTCCCCTGAGATTAGGGAGTGGGAGAGATAAGGGAAGAGCCGAAAGAGGAAGAGAAATATGTTCTTTTAAAACCAAGTCACTGTGGCAGAGCAGGAAAGGCTACATTGGAAGCATAAAGTGGACAACTGGTACAAAATTTGTAAGACAAAAACCCAGTTTCCACAGAAGTAGGGAATCTACTTTTATCTCAAAACTCCAGTTTCAATATTGTCTAAGTTATGGCCCGCTTGAACAGACAAGAATCCATCATTTACAAAAGCATTAGCCTCAAATTGAATAAATGTTTTTAAGTTTTAAGTGAATCCTTTCCTTTTTGTTTTGTACTGGGATTGAATCCAGGGGTACTTTACCACCTTTTTATGTTTAATTTAGAAACAGGGTCCCACTATGTTGACCAGGGCCTCACTAAGTAGCTGAAGCTGGCTTTGAACTTGCAATCCTCCTGCCTCAGCCCCCCAAATTGTTGGGATTATAGGCATGTTGGGAATACCACTGCTGCTGGTTATGAATGTCTTTCTTAATACAAAGCTTCAGTATTTCTCCTCTTCCTTTCAGAAAACAATTTACTACTTGAATGATAAAACCCAAGAGCAAAATAAGAGAAATGAAAGGGCTGGGGCTGTAGTTCAGTGGTAGAGTGCTTGCCTAATATGTACAATGGCCCTGAGTTCAGCTCTCAGTATGGAAATCTCGATATTGGAAGGACAAATGAAGTGGTGTGGTAGGAAAAAAAGCTAGACTAGATGAATTGGAAAGTTGGGCCCCACCAAGGTCAGATTCCTGTGGTCCAAGAGACCACAGATACAAGCAAGAGCTTAAAAACCCAACTGATAGAAACATCTGTGACTCAGTGTCTAGACCCTCTCCAAAAAAGGACAAACTGCAGCTTGGTAACCTGACTGGGCTTGGGCAGGGGTGGGGGTGGGGACGTGAACACCACATGCCCAGTTAAGAACAAACTGTTTTCRAAAACTCCAGCTTTAGGTCTTCTAGGCCACTGCCACTGCCCTATAACTTTATCATGTAAACCTCTAGGCAACAGAAGTCCATTGGCAACTCTTCCTGGGGACCTAGGGTAGCTCACTCTCTCTTCCTTCCTTCCCCTTTCTCTGTTTCCTTCTATAACTTTAATAAATCCTGTTACCTTGCTCTCACCCTTCTTGTCTGTGGAGTTCCTTCTTTGAATTCACAAGACAAAGACACTACCCAACYCGTACTCTATGTCAGAGTTGGGCAGGGGAATTCATTCATTAAAAAGGCAGTAATACTGGGGAGATAGCTCAGTGGGAAAGCACTTGCTTAGCATGCATATGGCCCTGGGTTCAACCCCCATCACCACATTAAAAAAAAAAAAAAGATTTAAAGATTTAAGGGCTGGGGATGTGGCTCAAGCGGTAGAGTGCTTGCCTGGCGTGCCTGAGGCCTGGATTCCATCCAGCACCACATACGAAGATGTTGTCCGCCAATAACTAAAAAATAAATATTAAAAAAAAAAGGCAGTAGTTATTCGAAAGTAGAGAAGTAGTCATTTTGCTGCTCTGGTGTGGCCTTGGGAGAGACACTGTTTCCCATTGGCTTTGCCACTCTTCTTGCAAGGTACATCATGGTCCCATTGTCAACAGGCTGATTTTTCTTTTTTCAAAGTACACAGATTGTAAAAAAGTACACTTTAAGCTTTTATGAAGAAATGTGTGGGTAAGCTCAGGATTACTATGCTGCATCTGAATGGATAGGGGGCATTAATGGGGACACAGTTGTGCATCTGAATGGATAAGGGGGCATTAATGGGGACATAGCTTTAAATACAGTTTTGGCCTGGGTTTAACCTAGCACTGGAAAAAAAAAGTGGGGAACAGGTACAAACTGGTGGTATATATAGCTCAGGGCTAGAGGCCTGCTTAGCATGGGATAGGCCCAGTAAGGGCATACTCTTTTTTTTTTTTTTTTTTTTTTTTAAGATATACTTATAAAAAGAAAGAAGGAAAGAAGGAAGGAAGCTGGAATATCCTGACACCTTTAGCTTTTCATTATCTATTAAGTATTATCAGTAGGGTGGAACACTATGTTCAGTATTTTTTTTTTGTTGTTATTTTTATATCAATTCTCATTAATTTTCACAACCACCTCTGGATAGGCCCTCTTTCTTCTTTTTCTACTCCTTTTCCAGAAGGAGATAGAAGAAGGATCAAGAGATCAGATAATTTGCCAAAGACTGAGCTAGGAAGGGGAGAAGCCTAGATAGGATGAAGATAAGCTAACTGCAGAGGCTTTGTTTAGACATTACAATATTCTCTCCGGTCCAAAGAGGTTGAAATAATGACCAGTGAAACTGCATATCATGTACAACCTCAAGAATGGGACTTTATAATGTGTCTACTGTCATGTCTAAAAAGAACACCAAAAAATGATTACTTGAAAGTATAATATTATAAAAAGCTTTATAAATAATAACCATAAAAAAAGAGGGTGACATACTTTGCCAAGAAATTAGCTGCCTTCCCAATTCTGGTCACACTGTGATTCAATTAATTTTCCTTTAAAGGATAAGGTGGGGGAAACCTGGCTTAAGTTACACTGCTGACAGGAGAAACAGGAGATAGCATTTGTGTTTACTACGAACTAAGCAATAACACAGTGTAATCTATCAACCTAAATAACAGACTCTCCAAAGATTAGCATGTTTTTCCTGGAATAGACATTACAATGGGAATGCATGTGCCATTGTAAACTATTTGTGTATACAAGGCTAATGCGAGCGGAAAACTCAAAGACAAAATAAGGATCACACAATTTTCTTGAAATAATCTTTGGTTACACGTTCAATAATAAGGCAGGCAACAGTCCAAGGCTGAACCAAGTAGTTGTTGGGACAAACATCCTTGAAGAAATACCTTTTTCAGGTGCAAGGTTGTGGTTCCGGCAGTGCTTAGTGACAGTTTTTATCAGGCATCTATGCCTGTCAGCCTCCTTCTTCATGCCCTCCTAGCTTTATTTGATACAGGGCTCGACATCTCTATTTTGATTCTGACAACTCTCAGTAATCCCAGTGAAGTAGGGTCTGCTGTTATCCTCATCTGAGAGAAGTGGAAAGATATAAGCAATATCAAGCCCCCAAACTCACACTTGGGACATGGGAAAGCGCGGATTTAAACCCACGTCTTCCCTCCCCAGGCGACCCATTTCCCCTCCCTCGGCTAGGAGGAAAGGCTTTGCTAGTGAACCTCGGTCGCCCGGATTTTGAGCACCCGGCACACCTGGATGGAGCCGCGGAGCCCCGCCCTTTCTCTGCRGAGACGTCAGCTCCGCCAATCAGCGACGTCGGGGGCGGGCCGGGGGTGCCCACGCCCGGGGCCCGCGGTCCTAGTGGCCAGAGCTCCCCGAGACGCGACACGGGGCTCGCGCGGACCCAGCGGGCGCCCGGGCCTCGATCCCCTCCCATCGCCGCCTTCTCCCCTCAGCCGGACCGGAACTATGTGATCCCGGAAGTTCCGGGGCCATTGCTGTGTGGGATAAACAGTAATGGCGGAGGCTGCGGCTCCCGGAACAACAGCCACAACATCAGGAGCAGGAGCGGCAGCGGCGGCGGTGGCAGCGGCCTCCCCCACCCCTATCCCCACAGTCGCTGCCCCGTCCCCGGGGGCGGGAGGAGGGGGCGGTGGCAGCGACAGCAGCGGCGGCGGCTGGACCAAACAGGTCACCTGCAGGTAGGACGTTGCGTGGCGGAGCGCCGGGCGAGGGGCGGGGGCCGGGGGCGGGGGCCGTGGGCGGGGGCGGGCGGGAGGGAGGGGCCGGCGTTTCCGCGACCCCCGCTGACTGCTCCGGGACCGTCGCTGCGTCTGTCCCCGCCGGCGTCCGAGGCCTCAGCGTGGTCCGCAAAGGTTGGTAGCGCGCGATCTCTGCGGGCCGCCACCTTCCGGGCCACCCCTTCTCCGGCGCCCTGGCACTCGGGGAGAGGTAGGCCGACCCCTGGGGCTGGCTTCGGCGTGTCGGGGCTGTGTGGGAGGACGCCCCCGCCCCACCTCGGGCTCCGGAGGTTCGGGAAGCGGGCGCGAGGTGGTCGCTCCCAGCCGGGCTCTAACGGCCTCTCCCGGCCCGGGAGACCCCGCCGAGGGCTGCCCGTCCCCGGGGGTCTTTGCTCCGTGTCATCCGTTTGTAACGTCTTTTCTCCTCTCTCYGCCCCGCACCCCCCCGCCCGAGAGAAGAAGCTTTTGTATTTCTTTGTATGTTTGTCKGGGTTGGCGGTTCCGAGCTTTGTCTTGGAACCCAGCGGTCGGGGCTCGGGGTCCTCTCCACCCTGGCTTTGAGGAGCTGCATTATTACTCTCGCCCAGGGCAGTGTTGCTTTTTCCAAATCCACGCATCCTGCTCGTGAAGGGARAACCCAAGGAGAGAGGTTTGGCCGAGGTTGGGTAAGCCAGAGGGTCTGCGAAAAATGAGTGGATGGCCCAATGCAGACGCGGACGCAAGAGCGTGTTTTAGGTGTTATATTCCGGCTTCAAAGCGCTGATCGGCAGCGACTGTAGTAAGCTTTCTTTTATACAACTCAGGCTCGGGTTTTCTTCTGGCCAAGATAGTTTATATGCAAATATATCAAAAATTCCCGATCATATAGAAGTCACGGTTGTAGCATTAAAGACGAGATTTGAGTGTTCCTAGTCTTTCTTGTGACACATTGATGGCCACATTGAAGCTTTCTCGRTCTTTTTTTTTTTTCTTAAATACTTATTTTTTTAGTTGGATACAGTATCTATTTCATTTTTATGAGGTGCTGAAGATCGAACCCAGTGCCTCACTTATGCTAGGCGAGCTCTGTATCACTGAGCCACAACCCTCAGCCCAGCTTTCTCGATCTTTATATGATATATGTAAGGTATGAATGATAGTCTGATTTTCAATCACTGGATGCAGAAAAAAAAATTTCAGGTAACTCTTAATCTGTAGATCGTATTCAAATGCGATATCTGAAGGAATGAAAAAAATTTTTTAAGTTCCTATTCATGGAACCGATTATTCGAATCTTTTCTCTTTACTAGGATATAGTTGATTTTATTTTTCTTTTTAAATCTTGTTTACATATTTATTTTGTACCTGAGATTGAACCCAGGGGCAAGAGACAGGGTCTCCCTGAGTTGCAAAGTGCCTGCTAAATTKCTGAGACTGTTTTGAACTCTAAATCTTCCTGCCCCCGCCCTCAGAGTCGCTGGGATTACAGGCGTGGGTGGGTTCCCCAGCCTGTTTTTAATTTTAATTTTGAGGCAGGGTCTTGCTAAACTGGAGTCTTGCTTTGAACTTGTGATCCTCATACCTCAGCCTCCTCAGCCGTGTGCCACGGCGCCTGGCTCCCAAGCCTTTTTTTTTTTTTAAACTTTTTTTTTGTTGTTGTAGGTGGACATAATACCTTTATTTTATTTTATGTGGTGCTGAGGATGGAATCCAGTGCTTTACACTTGCTAGGCAAGTGCTCTACCACTGAGCCACAACCCCAGCCCCCCCCCCCCCATTAGCACAAAAGGACTGGACCAGAACTTTATTTAAAGCTTTTATTCAGGAAAGGAGTGACACCTTTGATGGACCCACCTTCCTGGTGGAAAATGATCCACTGATCAGTGGAAAATGATCCACTGACAACGTCTGGGTTATACCGAGAGGTGACTTAGTTATACCGAGACTTAGTTATACCGGTTATACCGAGAGGTGACTTAGTTAATGAGCATATCAGTTTGGGCACTAAGGAATTTTTTTCTTTTTAACTGGACAATGGAGGGTCTGGGGTGAGCCGCCAGCATCTGGAAAGGATCTGTTTTGGGAGACATCAATGCTTAAGTCCAGAGTCTGTCTTTTTAGGTTTGATGGTCGTCTTCTCCCCAGGGCTTGTTTTGTCACTGGTAAAGAATGTATTGGGAAAGAATCAACGTTATATCAATGTATATRTCTTTTCCCTGGCATTTTCCCAAACCATTTTGGGGTTTTTCATTTCCCAGCCCTTTTTCATATTTTATTTTGACACAGGCTGTCACTGAGTTGCGTTGGGCCTGGCTAAGTTGCTGAGGCTGGCTTTAAACTCTGAATCTTCCTGCCTCAGCCTGGTGAGCAGTTGTGATTTCAGGTGTTTGCAGCACTACAGTTGCTTTTTATGTGCTAATGAGTCTTTAAAAATATAAAACGAGTGTAACTTTTGAATTCCTGGACTTTCCCACAATTCATTTTGCAGAGCCAATCCACCTCTATACTGTGAACATGATGCAGCTTGAATAGAAATTTTTACAGCTCCATAAGATACCTTGATTTTATCCAGCATCTTCAGCCTAAATATAGTCTGGCCACAGAATACCCATCACCAACCTGGCATTTCTATTCTTGTCTAATTTGTWTCTTGACCCCAACTTTACATCTCTGAACAGAATTCATTGTTACTGTCAACACTTTGTTTTTGTTTTTTCCCCTCTTGGTTTTCCCTGTTTCTCCTTTCCTAGTTCCTCATAGGGGTTCTAGACTCATCATTCCCCTGTGCCTTCCTTTACAATATTATTGTGTGCTGTACTAGGGACTGGACCCAGGTGTACTCTACCACTTATCTACATCCCCAGCCCCTCCTAGTTTTTTTTTCTTTTTTTTGGTGCTGGGGATTGAATTTTATTTTTCATTTTGAGATAGGTTTTCCTCAGGTTGCTGACCTTGAACTGGTGATCCTCCTGCCTCAGCAGTTGCTAGGATTACAAGTTTGTGCCCTGTCTTTTTTTTTTTTTCAACGAGAAAGAGAGAATTTTTTTAATATTTATTTTTTAGTTTTCGGCGGACACAACATCTTTATTTGTATGTGGTGCCGAGGATCCAAACCAGGGCTGCGCGCATGCCAGGCGAAGGTGCTACCGCTTGAGCCACATCCCCAGCCCCTGTGCCCTGTCTTTTAGGATCTTTGAGTTAATGAAATTGCTTTGCCTTTCCTCTTGGGTGAGTGGGAATTTGTTGCCCCGGAACCAGTAAATTTCTAGTGAAAGCTCAGTCTTCGTCCTGGATGCCAATCCAAAAAGGAAGACAAGGTCTTGAGGGAACTCCTGACCCAGAGCCTGTGATTCTGCTTATCATTTTTTTTTTAAAGAGGTGATTCAGAGAAAATGACATTAGGAAGGCGAGATCAGGGAGAAGGTTGGAAGAAAGAAAAAAACATGTAAGTTTTAATGTGACAAGGGATGTAGTCAAAGCATCAAGTGAACCCTTGTTACAGAATTATGTATTTAACAAATTTACATGCTGAGCAAACATAATGTGAGAAAATAATGAAAAGAAATAGTGTTAATGTAGCAGTTTTTCTTTTTCCTTTTTTTGGGGAGGGTATAACTTTGACTATAACATTAGCTTGGGAAGGGGCTGTTTTTAAAAAACAACAAAAAACACAAACTAAAGCCTGGCATGGTGGCAAACACCTGTAGTTCTAGCCACTTCAGAGACTGAGACAAGATCCCTTGAACCTGGGGACTTCCAAGACAGCCTTGGCAACATAGGACCCTGTTTCAGAACAAAGGAATGGAAAAAACCTACAGGTTAATTGATATATCTTGGGGTTTGATATTTGACATTGTTTTCTGTTGTTTCAGGTACCTACATGTTTTCTTTCTTTTTTTTTTTTTTTTTTAAGTTTCTCAGTGCATTGGCCTATAATCACAGCTACTTGGGAGACTGAAGCAGGAGGATAAGAGTTCTAGATCAGTTTGGGCAATTTAGCCAGACCTTTTCTCAAAATTAAAAGGACTGAAAATGAGGTTAAGTGGTAAAGAGTCCCATGGATAAATCCCCAGTACTGGGTAGTGCGGGGGAGAGTTTTGTTTTGGTTATAGGAACAGCAACTATGAAATCTTTATTCCTATTAGCTCTGAGAGGAGGACTTTTGTTTTATCATTGTTTCTGCAGGGCTTTGCTCAGTGCTTGGCATAGAGTATGGAGTTAGCACATGCTTGAGTTGATCATGGTAAAGTCATACCTAAAATTGCCCAGTTTAATATAAATTTGTAAATTTCCTCTGCTTTTCATTTTTGAAACACATATAAACTGGTAAAAACAAAGGACTTAATGGGCCTTTTTTTTTTGTACTAGGGATTAAACCCAGGGTGCTTTACCATTGAGCCACATCCCCAGTTTTTTTTTTCCCCTTTAATTTTGAGCCAGAGTTCCACGGAAGTTGTTGAGGTTGTCCTTAAACTTGTGATCCTCCTGCCACAACTGGGATTATAACAGGCACTGGCAGTTTGTGCCTAGCTAGAACATGTATGTCTTCTTGGACTATCTTATTTAATCATCTTCACAAATTTATGTGAAAAACATTTGCGATGCTGCTTATTGAACCCAGGGTCTCATGTTTGCTAGGCAAGTACTGTACCACTGAGCATACTCCTAGCTCCATCCAGTCATTCAATAAATAAGCATTGGCCGTCTGCAGTGGGGACACAATACTAAATGTTAAGTGAATGCAGAAGTATATAGTATAAATATTTTTGGTATGTTTGATAGCTAAATCTCCTTTGAAGACAATTCAAGGTATAGTGGTGTGTWCTGGTAGTTGCTAATTTCTCTTCATAATAGATCAATTCTGTATTTAGGAATTTGGGTGAGTATTTTCTATACTTAGGATATAAGCATCTTTAAAGTTTGACATTCTTAGGATAAGGATGTTTGGTTTTGACTGATTATAATCATCTGTATTTTCTTGT